TACAAGACGAACAAGGAGCGAATCAGATAGGATATAATAATTATAAATTTGCCTTAACTTTTTTCACTAAATAAGGACTGGATACAATACAGCAAACTTATTTAAACTTTGGAACTGAAATAGTTCAAAACTGCTTGATTATCTTCCTTGCTCATTAGAAGATGTAAAACATATTTATGYGGCTAATATTGCATACCTGTGGAAGCACCAAGTGCCAGYGCCTTTGTGATGTGTCCTACGGTTTGAATGCCACCATCTGCAATAACAGGCACTCCAAACCGCCTTGCATACTCAGCAACCTTATAGACTGCTGTACCTTGTGGCCTTCCAACAGCCATCACTTCTTGCGTGATGCAAATAGACCCACTKCCCATGCCGACTCGCAATGCATCAACACCTGCGTCAATGAGGTTTTTTGCTTGCGCAGCAGTCACCACATTGCCACCGATGACCTGTAGGTTTGGGTAGCGCTCCTTTATGTGGCTATAGACAACAACAATGGAGAATTAGAAGATGGATGGTATATATGACTCGAAGAAAAAAGGAAATGGCATTTAGTTAGTTATTTACAATAAATTATTATGTACCAAATCGTTGAAATAAATGCATTCGATTACTGCACACAGTCTTGTCATAGTATTGTAACTATGGTCTTCTTGTCAACCAAGGACACATTTATCAATGCCACTTTTTAAAAGTTATAAAAATTCTCAACTCTATTTGAATGCAGTTGCAGACAGGTACATTATAATTATGATGAACTCGTACAATTATTATGCAAGCAGAATGCAATATTACCTAATCATTTCAAGCTGGAAGATGGAGTTTCCTTGAGAGGAATCTAGAACAACAACATCCACACCTGCCTCAACCAGTTCATGCAGCCTCAACTTATCTTCCTCTCTTGTTCCAATTGCAGCTCCAACTATAACCAAAACAATAACGTGACACATGATGACAACTTGCGCAAACAAAGTAGACAAAAAAATCAATGATAAATCAATGATTTATGTCCTCTGAATAACACAATTTCTTTTCGTTATTTAATAATATTTTAATTTATCTAATGAGAAATCTCCTAGTATGCTGTCCCTCATTTTGTCCAGCTTCTTTCTGGGAGGACAGAAAACCTGACAAAAGTTACATGAAATTTTGTATTATCTAAAGGAATAAAAGTTTAAGAACGTTGACCTTGCMTTTCCTGATATAACAGGAAATTCGCTAGTTATACATATTATACACACTGCCTAGAAACAAGCGACAACCTTGCTATAATGTGCTCAATAATGGTAAGGGTCCACACAATGTATCTATTAATGCAGTTCAACATACCTAAGAGCTGTTTGTTGTCATCTTTGGATGCAAGAGGGTAATCTCTGTTCTTTTTAAGATCTGTCCTTGCTATCAGAGACACTAATTCACCGTTTTCATTGACTATTGGCAATTTACCTGAAAATGAAACCAGTAAATTATATGCCTGTTTCTAACATTATCTGCATCTAAAATATAATGCAAAAAGATAATATGCACAGGTGGTCAAAAAATATTCCTTCAAAATATCATTGAGTCCTGATAATCCATACCAAGGAGTTTATACACCCTTTTAATAAGTCCCGAGGTATTGTGTTCTCCGCAGTTGACGTCAAATTTATTCTTTTGAATTCCTTTTGTATTGTAAAAATTTCAAAAGAATAAATTTGACGTCAAGTGCGGAGAACACAATACCTCGGGACTTATTAAAAGGGTGTATACATGTGTGCCTCTTTAGATCATAATGAATCAAAGATCAAACCTTTTTTACTGCGTTGTAGTATTCTGTTTGCTTCTTTAAGTGTGATGCCATCTTTAGCAAAAACTAAATCTTGCAGTGGAGTCATTACCTAGCATTGAAGAAAAAATGATACATGTACAAGACACTCTTGGTATTCTCTAACTGCCCTGTTTTGAATAAAACAATAATTCTCCATCCCTCCCACTGTCTATACTAGCTAGTATACAAAAAATCCCCACCCCTTCCCCCATGAAAATCAGATTTCCCCTCCCCCTCCCCCTGAAATCATATTGTGTATTCCTTTCCAAAGTGTCTAGAGAGAGGGAAGGTTCAGGACTGCAGAACTATCAAGAATATTGTTCATTACCTCTTTCAATGGCTTGTTGTGGTCTATATTTGGGAGAAAGTCAATATCTCGTGATGTAACAATGCCCTGAAGAACACCCCCCATCTGTCCATTTTCTAAGAGTCAATACAGAAACAAGGATTAAAAAAAGTAATTCCAATACACCATTTCGTGGATAATTTGAAATTTTACATTACGACGTTATGGTAAATCATTGACATTGCTGAAAAGAGCGTCATAAAATCAGCAAATTTGTCAAGTTTGATAATAATCGTTTAGAATAGTTTTAATAATAATCTGATTAAAATTCAAAGAGATATATGGCACTTCAAAAACACTAAATTTTGCTTAGAAATGTTTGGCTAGGTTGTAACAAGTCAAGGTTAACCCATCGATCTCATGCCGACAGCCCATACATTTTTCATGTAAATTTTGGACTTTTAAACGCTGTATCTCCTTGAATTTTCATCGAATCATTCTCAAGGTAAACATACTAATTTTACACTGTTCTTTCCAGTGGTGGTAATCGGTTTTTTGTTATTTGCTCAATTTCTAATAGCTGTGTTATCTGCGAARTGGGCTATTGAAACTCATATTAAATCTTTTGCAGCAACATTTCTTACCAGTTATAGGAATTCCAGAAAAGCCGTGGTTTGATTTTGCATTTAAAACATCGGCAACAGTGTTTGCACCACTCAACACCAGAGGAGCAGTTATAAATCCTTGTTCAAATTTCTTGACTTTTCTTACTTCATTAGCTTGGAATTCCACCGAACAGTTATGATGTAAGATTCCTATTCCTCCATTCAACTAGAAAAAAAAAATCAGAGTCATTAACTGTAATGAATATACAATTTATTTAACATGAATAAAACCAAAAGGACTTTTTTCAAAATAATAGTCTACTACTAGCCTGTCAACCGTAAATTTCTTTRTCATATAATTATCTATGAAATAACTTTATTTCTCTCCTTCAAAAAGTGGTTATTTTCACTAGTGAACACATGTTTCTCCATGTTGTCCTCTATGTCACTTGWATGACCTCAACAGTAAAAACCTCTACTTTGATCCTAGCTGAACAAGGTCTAAAAAACTTCCCAGGGGTACTATGAGCAGATTTYGTATGACTGTCCAAAAGACACGGTACTTTCGCGCTGTGGCTGTACCGTACGGTAGCAGTGATGTATTGTTAAATCTTTATTTTTATTTGGAATCCTAGAAGGCGAGGTTTCGKGACTGTGCCGTGTCCGTGTTGCGATCCGTGCCGTTGCACAGTCATACACAAAATCCGCTCCCAGAGGATACTGACTTGTAGCCTACTAAATTAACTGTAGTATTTCWGAACATGAATTTGTTGTGATGACAATTATTCACAAGATGTAWTTTTTTTCACTTTATTGTCACATTTTGATCTATTCTTATATGTAAATGAACAAACTTAAGTCTAACAATACAAGCATTTAATAGCTATTATAATATAATCCTTAGCGTCACAGCATTTAAGTGATTTAAAATGAAAACTTTGATTTGACAGCATCCCTTAAACCTTTCATTCGCCACARGTAAAAAATCGGATTCACAATCGAGTTAAAGCTCACAAAGAGGCCATTATAKGAGTAAAAGGCCAGCCGATAATGTTTAGGCACGCGAAGTTTGCTTTCYATTAAAATAAACACAAATATTGGAGAATATATCAGAATGTTCAACATAAGTATGAGTGYCATAGTATTCAAAGAACGCTGGTATTTAAGAACATTAAAGCCACTTGTTGTTGTGTTGGTTGAGCCATTGGAAACACGCACTAGTAAGCGCTTCAAAGAACAACGAGACACCAGAAACGAYGCAATGATAATCACGAAAAATATCCCYGTCATTCCTCCAAAGAAAATCAAAATCTGAGAAGTGTCAAAAAATAGCAAGGATAAGACAGTTCCTGTGAAACCAAAAAGCCAAATAAATAGAACAAGACCAACAGTCCTTTTCTTGGTGACRAAATTTTTATAGTTCGTCATTGTTCTCACAGCTAGGCATCGGTCAATACTCATAGCTGCTAAAGTCATGAATGCCACGCAAACCATCATGTCATTCACTCTAGTTATCACAAACCAGCAAACACAAAACCCCGCGTGCCATTTCTTGAAGACTGAAATATAAAACAAAGCCCCAGCYGGTTGAGTCACAAGACCAATGCAAAAATCACTAAAAGCAAGAGAGCAAAGTAGCATCTTTGATGGTGTCCTCAGGAAGGACGTTGTGAGGATGGTGTATACAACTGAGAAGTTGAGAATTAGGATTGGAAGTACAGTTACAAAGAGAATTACAACCAAAGGAGTGTATAGCTCAGTCGTGTATKCAGTTATGTTGACCACCTCTTCGCCACAAGTAATTTTCATCCTGGAACTTCAATTATTAACGTTGTAAAAACGAAAATTTGATAAAAACGTTCAGTGAATTATTCAATAGTATACTGCAGCYGCACATCAAACAATCATCACTCTTCAGACTTAGTAGTACTTTCAGAAGTCTATTTTCTTAGAGACAACTTTAAAAATGATTTTTGTAATGTGTTACTTTAGCTTCGAAGTGTTTTAACTTTCTGTTCTGAGAAGTACTCATTTCCTGTCAAATTAATAAGTCAAGACAGATGGTTTTTTTGTGCTATGTGATGTCCAATCTATAACTTAAAGTTCACTTTAAATTAAGGAAACACTCTGGACAATTTAAAGTTATACTGTATAAGTAGTTAAAAGCACCACTTAGAAATTATCATTTTCATTAAGTTATAGCTACTTGTAAGTTGTAAGATGTTTTTCAATATTCTTAGCCTGCGTAGCGGCCCTAAGGCGATTGGGGAGGGCCGGCCGAGCGGGGAGTGGGGAGGAAAATAGGAAGGGAGGCAGCTGTTGCTTTCTCGGTTCACTCTGAATTCAATTTCTAACTGATTGCTGGGTTAAAAAGAGTCTAAAACAACTGGGATCACAGTCACAATCATATAACATCATCATCAGCGTCGTCATTATTACTGCAGTTTATAAAATGTAGTGATGTAATAGTGCAAATGCTCTGATTGGTCCAAGAGCATGATTTATTTCACTGGTAAATGCATGCTGGTATGCATACCTAACTTTCTATATCATAAAAGCAATAAAGGATGCGTTGCTGTGCATTTATCGGTGTAATAAAGCAATCTGAGATCTTTGGGAGAACACTTAAAAAATGCCAAATTCACTCTCTGCGCTCATGATTTTTTAGTAAAATAAACACAAAGATGGGGGAAAAGATGAGATGGTTCAACAAGACGATCATTGCCATTGTATTCAAAGAATGCTTGTATTTACTAAAGTTAAAACCACTGATATCTGTGTTGGTGACAGCGTTAGAAACACTCAATAAAAAGGGCTTCAAAGAAATGTAAGTCAGACAAAACAAACAAATGTTATGATAGTCGTGAAAAACACTCCTATCACTGCTCCAAAAACAGTTAAATTTTGAGAAGCACTGAGAAATTGCAATGACAGGTTGATCACTGTAAAACCAAAAACCAATATAATTAAAAYRAGACAAACTGTTCTTTTTTTGGTGATAAGGTGTTTATAGTTTGTCATTGTTCTCACAGCTAGATATCGGTCAATACTCATAGCCGCTAAAGTTATGAATGMCACGCAAATCATTGTGTAATTCACTCATATCATGACAAACCAGCAGATACAAGAAAATTTGTGCCATTCCTCAAAGGCTGAAATGAAGAAGAAAGCAGCAGCTGGCTTAGCAAAGAGACCAATAAAAAATCACTAAAAGCAAGAGAGCAAAGTAGCATCCTTAATGGTGTCTGCAGGTAAGAGTTAGTGAAGATGGTATAAAATGACAGCAGCATTAAGAAATAGGACTGGAAGCACAGTTATAAAGTGAACTGCAACCAAAGGTGAGAATAACTCGGCTGTGTATTCAGTTAATACGTTACCAACCATTTTGCCACAGATCACTTCAAATTTCATCATATGGATATATAGATACCTGGGTCTATTAATAGTAGCTTCAAGTTGGTGAAAACATCTCATCAAAGGTTAAAGATTTCGTAGTTTAAATAAAAAATTATGCACCTGTTATTTTAGACAAATTGAAAGACAGGAAACAGCTTATTTAAGGCAATCTGAATTAGTGAGTGACATTTTCTATTTCTATTTTTAATATGAATATGAATATATAGAATCCTAACTTGCTCTTAGAGCCATTTCTTTGTTCATCTATATTACTCTTGTCTTGTCAAAGATGATAACACAATAAGTTGACTATTCAAAATCTTAAATTCTAAAACTAAATATTAATAATAGCACTTGGGAAAAACTTCAAAACCTATATACGTAGGCTGATTTAGACAACTTTTGTCTAGAACCATCACATGCAACCTGCCTAAGTCACCCTTACGACATGGCTACAACTGTCGTAGGGTTATTAAGCAATTGTTTAAAATCCCTACAACAGTTGTAAGCTTGTAAGTTGTAGTCATGTTGGGTAAGGATGACTTACGCAGGTTGCRTGCAATGGTTGTAAGCAAAAGTTGTGCCGTCTAAATCGGCCTTACGAGTCACTTGAAAGCCAAATTGACATTCATTTGTTACTACGACTTTAGTTGTCAATGATTTTAATGTTCAGTGCTTTAATGACTGGACTAAGGAATGCACTTCATGTCAAAGATTTCATCATGTCCTAGAAATAACTGACAGGAAGGAGGCTTTTAAGCAACTCAACACACTTATAAGAGGGCACTCAAGGTCTTGGGAAAAGTTCATATAATGGGAGTTAGTAAGACCATTGAAATCTCAATATGCAGCCAATGGTGGCAGACCATGAATATCACAATAGGTTTCTTGTCAATTGACTTTCATGCCTGTCTGTCTACCTAATACTGACCATCCCCTATGGAYACCACCCTTTCAGGTGATCCAGCTAGCCATCACCCTGTACTAATTACATGTATGTAAAAATAAAAATTATGACACAAATACACAAGAAAACAAGAAACATATCTGCCTTTCAGTACTAGAATTTTGTCTAYATTCCCATATTTTCACATGATACAAAATATACAATATCCCTATTTACACAAAAGAAAAGCAACAAAGAAAGTACTTACAGCCATAGTAATTGCCATTTTGGATTCTGAAAATAAAAACAATTAAACTCCAATGAATATATATTATAAATAAAATTACGTTTTTCATGGAGTGATCGAGGAATGTCAGGAATGCAACCAGAAACAAAATAACCAAATAAACAGGTAGCCATGAGTTTTGCTAATTGAAGGGAAAAAAACTGATTGATACTGCCTTGAKACAGTCTGTGGTAAACTTTGGCTCCATTTATTCTCTGTTTCTATGGAAAGGTGAATTTAACAAGTGAATTTTGTTAATTAAAACAGTATAGTCCCTTTTGGTAGYKCAATCTCCCTTCAAAAATTGCAGTTCTGGCCAACAATGCTTTTTGAAATAGAGATGTATTAAATACAAAAGATACATGTAGATTACAATCAAAATCCARTATTCGTCATTATCACATCAGCAAGCAATACATTACCAGTGACAGTATCCATAGGTGAGCTGCATAATGGTGTTTTGATGGTTATGGTCTTGGTTAAAGGCGATGTCAAATCCTACAATAAAACAAATAAAATAAAYAACAATAACAAGTCTTAAAATCTASYAATATWCAATCTAACCATGTTGTCTGCATGCAAGAAAAAAATACAAATTAAAATTGCACTGATTAAAATGAAGCAACTTTATTATCTTTGTTATTGAGTTATTTTGCTGCTATTGTTATTATTGTTGCTTTATTGTTGTTATTGTTACAATTATTGTTATTATTGCTGTTATTGTTAATTATTGTTACTTTATTGGTGTAATTTGTGTGTTTATTATATGTTAGTATTATTGATGTTTTTATTCATATTTTTTCCATGTCGTTGTTTACTGAGCTTGTCAAACTGGGGATCGCAGGTTCAATGCTGGACTCAATAATGACTAAAAAGTTATTTCTATTTTCTTTCTTTTCTAACTTAAATGAACTATACTTATTCTGGTCGTGTTAATTTATATTCCTGTAATTATTTGTTTTCACAAGATCATACTCAAACAGCAGCGTTAAAATGCAAATCAATGGTTCAATTCAAGCAATTCTTATTTTTTCTAGTTAATATTATTTTTATTTTAACTCTAAAATACACCTGTATTTAACTATTCTACTTTTTATTATAAAATGAGGAGCGACCTTCAATCTTTTTCAGAATGTGAATGTAGACTGAATGCTAAATATTCAGAAAACAGAACATCTGCACAAAAACAATCTGATTTGCATTTTTTTTTTGAAGATTATGGCACAAATTACATACCCCTTTCACAGGATTTGTTTAAAAATTAAACTTTAAACAATTGGACATTTTGACAAAACAGATATCGTGTGTTTAATCTTCAAGAAATATATGACAAATATTGTAACATTTTATGAAATCAAATGTTTTGAATAATAAAATATCATTGAAAGCCGTATAGAAAAAGGAAAATTACTCTGGTAGAAAAAAACCTAAATTATTCAACAACAAAAAAGAAAAGAAAATATTCTAACAAAACATTGTTACAAAATACTGATATTCAATGAAATATTCATACACAATACCTTATATGATATTGTGGCATACTTATGTTGTAACCTGTATATTTGTCAAAAATTGGAAATACAGTACTTACCACATCTTGGGCCAAAAAGTCAATAAATCCAGGAAGAATGATAAAATCACTGCAACAAATCAATTCATAACAATCAAAATCTGTCATATTTGGTCCAAAACTAAGTACAGTGYTGCCCTTTGAAAAACATTTGTGTTGCTGTTACCATAGTGTTAGCATGCCCTTCTAGATAGACTCAGAAAATATCCACACCCCMTCCCCCTAAGAATTTCAAAATTCTTAAAGGGAGGGGAGCTACAAAGACCAGAAAGTTCAGAGGGGTGGTGGGTTTTAATCTAAATGAAATTATTGGATATTTATATGAATTCCAAAAGTATCAAAGTGAAGGAATTATGATCATTTTGACCTACATTGAGTCAAACTTTAYAAAATAAAAAACATAGAAATTACGTATCATTGCCAGTACTTACTGAAGAAATATCAGTGATGATATTCCATAATTTCTTATAGTTTTCTGAAATTCTTGAAATATGGCTAAAAATCATAATTTCTGTATCACATCCGTAGAGCGATGGGCAAACCTAGGAATGCTGGGGGRATGAGTGGTCATGAAAGAAATAGCGCAAAACAGTATACGAACATTTTCTATGAACCACACATTGTTACTCCTGATAAGCCATAAGTAAATTCATTTTTTRTTTACCAATCACTGATAAATTGGACATGCAAAGATTAATTAGCCACTTATACATTTTAATTACTAAAACAATGTAAAAAACAAAACAAGTTAATTAAACTTGAGTTTGCTGTCTTATTTAATTCACTTCTTAATTGCATTGCTAAACRCGCCCTGTAAAAATCATAAAATGACACTTTTGTTAATTAAATTGCCTTACACACCTTACATAGTTAATCAACCTGGATCTTTTTGTTAATTACTTTGAGTTTTGTAATTTTTGATTATTATTTGTAAATTAAAAGCCCATCACAAAAAGTTTATGTGCATTGCATAACCATGATGGAAAAAAAAATTGCTTCAAATCCATCTTGATATGAAATTTACCTAAAACAGGTAAAAAGTTCATTCAAAACCTGGACATAAAATTGCAGATTTAATGCCAAGTTCTCTATAGAATTGAACAAAAAGGAGTCTTCTTAATGTTGGTTTCCCTGTGTTCCTTCCCATGACAGTTGTAAAGGAAAATGGGTCAGAACAAGTTTCAAACAAATAATTTAAATAAAGCCATAACATACTTAAAAACAAATAACTTGAATAAAATTGAATTTTGAGCAGAAATTTGACATAAATTATATAAAGGTTCAACTACTGTACATCYTGGCTTGCCTTGAAGAGATGTGTGGTCCAGATTACGAATGCTCTTTATTTTGACTTGACTTGCCAGAGAGGGTCTGATGATTTACTTAAGGTATTATAGTTATTATGATTTCTGCCTTTGGGAGAAGGTCAAAAAGGATTCTTTAACCTTGCAGGATATTTCCTGGAGACCAATAAATTTCAGAAACTCCATACCTATTGTTAGACTAAACAGCTTTTCAACAGTGTTAACATTAGCTAACCTTACATAAGTTATTAATATTTTCAGCAATATAGCAGAATGTTCAAAATTCTTAAAGCAAAGCTTAAATGTTACATGTAAATATTTCATAATTCCTGGAACACAACCAATGTGATCATTCTTAACATTGTGAAAATATTCCATTTTTTATTGAAATAAAGTCTAGGGAAAGACATATGTACTGTAAGCTTACTGGATTTGAAATTTTAGGTTAAAAACGTTATTTTTAAGGTGTTAAGTTAAGTTTACAACCTTTTTAAACACGAAAAAAAAATCATTTTCAAATCCATGTACAAGCATAATGAATGCAAAATTTTAGAAACGTTAGATAGTAAAATATGAAATGAAAAACAAGTTTAGACTTGAATTGAGAAAATTCAGTGAAAACTCTGCATTCACGTAGCAGTATACAAGCATACGAGCAGCTGTGTTTAGTCACCCTTCATTGAGGTTCTAACATCACACGGTTGTAAAATAAGTGATATAACGACGAAATGGTAAAGGCAAAACAATATAATACTATAAAAAGGCTTTATCAATTCACTACGCCTAGAAATATGTTCAAACAACTAAAAAATAAAACGAAAACAAAGTTTGAGGGGCACGTGGAGGCGAAAATGTCACCCGAATCAAGGGATATTGTTCGACACTACTTTCTGGACACACGAATAAAAAAAGGCCCAAAATGTGTCTTTCAAATATTTCCCTTACCTATAGGTTAGACCATCATTGTTGAAGAGCTGTACTGCGGTCATTCCGTCTTCTGGTACATAGCCTGTTCCGCCAGCAATAAGATAGTCCGCCATTTCGCTGTTCATCGATCTGGTTCAAAATGATTCCATGGTTGCCTTTTTGAACTCGGGGTCCCTGCTGAGGATGCGCAGAGACTGGAACCGATGCCAAAAATAGCATTGAAAAATACATTAAAAATAAATTAAAATACCTTTACGAGTAAATATCGTCAGAACAGCCTAAACTAAAATTAATTATTATTTTTTAATTCAAGAAATCTAGGATTGGCCTCTACCTTAATGAGCCGGCAAGAGAAGAGCTGTTTTAGGTTCTATTCGAATCGTTATGCTCTACCACCCCGTCAGTCAATTTTTGTCATGTCTATTAATAGAATTGTGTCACGTCACGAAATTATCCAAACTTTATTTAAACTCCGCACAAGAGAAATAGCAAGATTAATTCAATATCTTAATAAAGAGTTCGTCGCCAGATTTTTAATACTTTGGAAAATGTACATACTTTGACAAAAAGCAAAACTCGGCCATAATGTAAGGCRTTTCTCAAGCGGAAAATTCAGTCACGTTCGCCAGTTATTCATCACGATCACACCACTACTAGTTTCAGAAGTTTAAAAAAAATGTCCTAAAGTTTCGTACTCATTGATCAATATTTGCAAGCACTCATAAGAACATAATATCTTCGCCTTAAATGCATTGCCGATCGTTCATCTTGGGTTTCCGTGGATGCCAAGCACATATATTTTATCAGAAATTAGCGAGATTTACTAGTTTTCCAGTTTACTAGTTTTCCAGTTGTCTAGTACCTTCTATATCTGGAGTTCCAAAACTGCAGGATAAGCCGGAAAAGGATTATTGATACCAGCACGTCTATTCCAGGTTTCTTGGCACACGTACAATTGACTTCGACGTTGTTAAAGGATCGACTATGGTAAAGGATCGACTATGCTTGTATAAGAAGTCAAAAATACCCCAAAAATAGAACACCAAAGCCTCTTCCATGACAAAATTTAACTTAGTAAGGTAACAACATTTTTAGTGTAAAAGAATACGTGACCTAAGAAATTTCCAGACACCAGCATGATTCCAGCGGATGCTACATAACTAGTTCATCATTCATCATTCCTGTTACGCCTAGGTGGCATGTAGGGCCGCTACTAAGAATTTCTACATAACTAGTAATGAAGATTATTTCCTGGTCAAAAAGTGCTGTTAAGTGCGTACAATTTTAAAGACACCAAAAAGATGCCAAATATAATTTTCACCCCCCTCTCTGAAAACCATACCAACAAATGCGGAACCGAGCGATGCTTGACAACCGCAAAAAATTACAGCAAGGCCGCCAACCTATATAGATAATCGGCCCGCCTAAAAACCCGAGACAGCCGGCATACCGCCGAACAAAGCCTGCATACTTTCGTTGTTTAAGGATTGACTCTCCATCCTGTCTGGGAACATTGACAACAGAAAAGGCTGGGGGAGTTGGATTCACTGATAACGTGACCATTCTCAACAACAACGTGATTTAATAAAATATTTCAACTTTTCATACTCGATTGCTCTTTGTTGCGTTCTTCTTGATTTTCATATGTTTCTTCATTGATGCACAGCAATGCCTGAAAATGCACATTTTATGCCAGGCTAGAGTAAAATCCCCTCGGAAATGAAACAGACACAACAATTCTAGAGATATCGACACCCATGATGATTTCTCGACGGCTCATTTTAATTGTAATATGAGATTGTTGCTTCAATTCTCTATGAATGGAACTTTCCAGATTTCCTTCCATCATCTAGCAATAACAGAAATTATTTTCCCTTGCGATAGTTGTATATAGTGTTGATTTAGTATGTGGAGTATGCGTGATGGCTGAGGAAATTTGCACGCAAGGACATCTCCTTGCCCTGCTAGTGGGTTTTTATTTATATATATATTACTGACTGCACGAGCTATAACRCAACGAGCTATTTGGTCAGTTTTGACCATTTTGAGTGCTAACTAAACAAGTGCGGCGCTTTTCACCATTTAACTAAAGAAGTTTATACTTGCGCTGAGGGACCGATGTCAACTATGCAAAATTATGCAGCTGAATTCAACGATGCAGGGTCATGCAGTAGGCCGTTTACCAACTGAGGTCATRTGACGGCACCCTACCTTTTAATCAATCAACTATCAAAAAATGATATCCAGACATGGAAAGAGAAGGTTGATGTAGGTAAAATGACAAAGTTTCAGGCACGAAATAATCAAAAACTGATGGCAAAAAATGTAAACTTTTGCTTTTTCTAAAAGACGCGTATTTGAAAATATTAAAAACTGGACAGCAAGCCTTGTTTGCTATTTTGGCAAACGTTTCCTTCACTAAAAAAATGATTTTATATTTATACCATTTTTGAAGTATTCGGTGTTGAGGATTGGTATCGTCTGACCTTCTCTTTCTAATTTTGGAAATTTACCAACTTCTTGATTTGAGAGGGAGAGGTGTGGTCACGAAGWTGCAGCCAACTTTCAAGCATGTTTGAAACTCAGAGGCGATGGTCGCTCGACGATCACCGCTGGAACTGAATCGCTCGCAAAAATCGCAAGTGTAAACGGGCCTTAGCAGAGTTGCGTCTCGCAACCTTGTTGAACAAACTGGGACTCCACATGCAAATGCGTAATTTCTCATTTCGAATGAGAGAATGTGAGTTTGGTGAAGGCAATCTCGTACCCAGAGCCCGTACTTTTGCCATCCAGCATACCGCTGACATTAGCCGTGAAGACTCTGGGCTCGAGATTGAACAGTCCTCAGCCATTTCTCTACTTGCGCATACCCATAATACCTTCTGATTTTGGGGGGTAGTTATTGTTATTGAAATCATTTATATTTGAATAACAATTAATTTTATTTGCATCACAAAACCTACCCCCCAAAATCAGAAGGTATTATGGGTCATGTGCAAGTAGAGTTGACGTCAGTCCCACGACAATGACATCATCAAGACACTATTTTTAAAAACTATTTTCTTTACACAAAGTATAAATAAGTTTCATAAAATTTATATAGTACGGGAACGTATGGCTATAGTACGTGCTATATACATCGATATACGTGCATGACGTCACGACAATGACGTCATCAAGCAAGTACAAAGACACTATTTTTTTGTTATAATTATTCGCCCTGGAAAAATCATCAAGTTCGAAGCAAGGACTTCAGATTTCATTTCTGCTGGTCCCGCTCGATTGATACTTAATAAGCACCCTTGCACTACTAAACAAGAATAAAAATCGAACATTTGAATAATATTAACACATTATAAATACAATAACTCTAACTACAACCGGCGATATAAATATTTAGGTATATTGATCACGAACACGTATGCAAATTAGTGGATGAATGATGTCACAGCAATTCAATGATGTCAAGAGAGAATTGAAGTGTGAAACTTTTCGTTAAAAACAAAGCAAGAACGTGCGCTCGATTTCATAACTTTTACAACATCTCATGCAAACTGGRACTTAACTGAAATAACCACCTAAACAGCTGATACTGACCAAAAGTTTTAATCATATTTACAACAATTTGATGCATATAAAAGAAAAGAAACTTTGCTACGAAAACGAGTTCGAGAACTAGAGGATAAAACAGTGTACCATGTCGAGTTTACAGWGTGATGAAGTCACAATAAACACAAAGCAAAATGATAAACAGCGAATGAGGTAAGTTCATCACTTTGAGTCAGGTGTTTTTAGACCGCGTTACGCTTGTTATTTCCGTGGACTCGTCACCTTTTCACCTCTTTATTTAAAGTTATATGTCGCCATATTGATTTTTTTTGTGTGCATATTTTGAGAATCATTTTAAACTCCCAAGAAGCCCGAACTACAAGCAAGAAAAATCCACAATATAACAAAGTTTAAAAACGTTGACTTTTGCTATATGAAAAAGACTCATCTAAATAAAAAAAAACCGTAATTCAGTGGAGATATTTAAAGACATRTCAAACATGTAAAAAATATCGTTGGCTTAATGAGATTGGGTGCCCKCAGGTAGAAGTCTATCGAGTAGKCTTTGTTTAAAGAAAATACAAGAATTTCCCTGTCAGTGTAAACAAATTATATGTAAGCAAAGTTAAAAAAATATTAATAGTTGCAATGTGTGTCAGTCCAATATGAAGAGAGAAACACGAAAAGACATGAATATAGCTGAAAAGCTGTTTGATGAAAATTCTAAATGTGCAATCGACCGCGCAGGAGATCGATATTTTATCTTCGCGGACTTCTACGTATGACAGATTTTTTATATTTATAGATTTTTKTGGCTACAGGTTATAACAGAATATTATAAAATTATAAATTCTTCGAGAAAATGTCGCTAACGAGATTCAGGGTTTTTTGGTCTCCATAACATCAAGTATAAAGAGATAAAACGGAGGATCCTTCATTTTGTTCTGTAGCACACAAATCTAACAAAAATAAAAGCTTTATTTCTCACACAGAAATTAAATCTCTCATCCTTGTCTTTTGGCTAGTTGAATACTGTTTTACGTTTTCTCGACTTCCACTAACTCCCAGATAATACTTTTTATCATATAATTATTTATGAAATATCTATATTTCCCCATTGTGTAGTTGATATTTTCGCCGTGAAAATTGATGAAAATAACACATTCGAGGTTTCTCTATATAGTGGAAGTAAGAAAAAAGCTATTTTACCGCATAATTTGCTTTCATATGTTATTAATGATAAACAGAATATTACATGAGCGCTTGGAGATACGAATTTTATCTTCTCGTGCTACGCTCACTCGTCAGAGATCTTTTCAACACTCGAAGATAAAATCCGTATTTTCGCGCGCCCATGTAATATCCTTTCTCTTTCTGGTAATAATAGTCGCAAAGATTTAGTTACATAGCAAAACGACAACACGAACAAAATACAAAGTCTGTTAATTGTTCTTTTTTCAATTTGCAGATGTTTGAAGCAAGATGTCATTCTACTGGCGGTTGCAATCCTGATATTTGCTGGTATCGTTGTAATGGGTCTGTTTTCTACCCTACCCTCCTTAGGAGCTCCGGCTCTTCCAGCTTTTAACGATCCCTTGAAGGTATGTTTAAACAAGAAGAAGTAGGACTAGTTGTATTTTAAATATGTTTCGGTGAGCGCAACCAAGAAGACACTTGCTGCAGCTCTCACCAATCGTTTGTATATGCATACATGCACATAGCTTTCACAGATCAAATGATGAGTTAATGTTCGTCCAAGAAACATTTTGTTGTTTGGTAATTTTTTTTGATGTTGTTGAAAGTTGTTGGATGAAGCACCAAAAATGTTGGCTCTTAAGAGTCGTTTGACCAACCAAGAATAGTCTCCTTCCACGGTTACGTGCGCCATCTTGAAAGTAGCCGAGCCTATACATCGAATCGAGACAACCGTTGAGCGTGCAATGATACTGAGATACCTGTGAATAATCGTCTGTAGGATGTGAAAAAAGGTTTCTATCATTGTACGCTCAACGGTCGTCTCGCTTAGATGCAAAGGCACGGCTACCTTTTAAGATGGTGCAGGGAAACGTGAAGAAGGTTATGGGTTTGATGTGATCTAGTAATGTTAGTTGGCGTTGGGTACTGAGTTGTTTTACGCTAATTATGCATACGTCGTTTGTTATTTTAGGGCTTTGAACCAAGAGGAACATATCTCAGCAACCGAATATACACCAATGGCCTTTTGGACAAATACATCAGTACAAACCAGCTTGTATCAGCTRAACCAAACACTAACGTTACAAGCTCTTCAAGGAAACGCCGAGTAACAACCAGCAATGCGCAGTGTCAAGACACCTACTACGGTAGAATCGCTTATGCATCTAAATCATCAGARAACCTACTAACCGYTGACAACTTGAAGTCCATGTGTTATTTAGAAAACAAGATAATGAAGTCCAGTCCATCGAAATTTGATAGGGACTACCAAGGAGGTTGTCCCAACTGTTGCCCTAGCTTCTCCTTAGGTGGAGTTGTTGCTCAGTTTTCCAATAAAAGTAATTGTGAAAACATTACCGACAACGATGTTAAGAAAACAATGGAAATTCTTGCAAATTGTTCAGTTTATCTTGTAAAAGGATTATTAAGAGAATCCTGCGACTGCAACAACTTGACCTCCARCAGCGTYTCGCAAGGYTGTCCTTCTGTTCCTTGCATTTGCAGCTGGAAGAAGGTTGYGTTCAACACTTTCCATAAATTGGTTGACAGTGAATTCTTGAAGACTCCAAGTCAGACTAAGTTGAAGTATTCAGCTACACTTACGCCTACTACATGGACCAGCAACGACCTTTACAAGAACATCTATGACAGYCATTTCAAGCAAAACTTCCCCGAGTATAAAGATGTGAAGGTAGTTGGTTTTGACTTTGGCAGATTTAGATTTGAACTTTTTAGTACTGTTGTGGTTGAGAATGCGAAATTCCCTTTCATTGCGATGGCATTTGTGTTATTGTTTATGTGGTTTTTCCTCAAGTCTTTTATATTATCTCTGCTATCAATGTTGACTATCATTTTCGCACTTGTGCTGTCGTACTTCCTTTATTCCGTTGCATTTGGCATTAAGTTTTTTCCGTTTTTGAACTTATTAACACTTGTCTTCATCGTGGGAATTGGTGCAGACGACGCCTTTGTGTACTATGACATCTTTAGACAGACAAAAACTGCAAACCCAAATGACAACTTGTTAACTTTGACAATCAAAACTCKTAAAGATGCGGCTCTTTCCATGTTTGTTACAAGTTTCACAACCTCAGCAGCTTTTTTTGCCAATGTCACATCCCATATCAGCTCCATTAAGACATTCGGGATCTTTGCTGGATTATCAATTTTAACCAATTATTTGCTGATGATAACATGGTTTCCAATTATTGTAATACTCCACGAGCGATGGGTTCGGAAGAACAAAGTCGATCAAATTGTAAAGTCTCCCAAGCAAGACAAAGTCGCTCCAGAAAAGATGGAAATTGTTGATCGTAATGGAAGTGCATCGAAAAAAGGAACCGAAACTCCCAAGCGAAGCMTSTGCTGTCTCATCTGTTGGGCAATTGACTTTCCGTGTCACTTTTGCGCCCSAAACAAAAGTTTTCTCTCAAAAGTTAGTCAAAAGGTCTTCAATACATGGCTGCCAAATGCAATTCTTAAGAAACGGCTGTATTTCTTGTGGATTTTTCTGGCTATCGGTTTATCTGTTGGCTTTGCTTGTGTATGCCTCGTGTCTCCAGGWCTTCAATTGCCCTCAACCAATGACTTTCAAGTATTTTCATCCAGGAGTTTAATAGAACAATATAATCTTCACATAAAGAAGAATTTCCGCTACGCCACTCAAGAGGCAGGAAACATGAAAGTCGAACTGATATGGGGCATTAAACCAACTGATAACGGYAATTATTTGGATCCCGACAACAAAGGAACTTTGGAATATGACGGCTTATTTGATCCCGATTTTACGACTCAAGCTTCTCAGAAGTGGCTATCGTCTTTTTGTAAAAGTTTAGAAAGTCAGGCGTTTTTCGCTGGTGATGTAACTTCATGGAGAGGAGGCTCACTATGCAGCATAGAGACAATCAATCGCAGATGCAGTTCTCAGTCGAACAAACCCTCTTGTTGTAAGGCTAACACAACCTTTCCATTTCCCAAAGAAGTGATTGATGGTTGCATGACAGCCTTGGATTTGTACGAACCTGTTACATACTATGAAAGRTCRAACAGCTWTAAGCCTAGGGTCTTGAGGATGTATTTCTATTCYAACGTTTTCTGGACTGCTAAGTAYAACCCCATGGACACCTTTTGGAATCAAGTCGACACTTGGTCCAAGAAGCACTTCTCGGAAGCTCCATCTCCTTTCAAGACTGGGTGGGCCGTTTCCAGTCCGCTTTATCGAATGTACAGTGTACAATGGAGTCTCCAGAAGGGTACAGTCTCATCACTGGGAATTGCAATTGGAATTGCATTTGGTGTTATGCTGCTGACCACATTGAATGTCTTCATCAGTCTCTATGCTATCATCACTATCATAGGCATCATTGCCATGACGGTCGGATGTCTGGTGTTGWTAGGATGGGAGCTTAGTGTTTTGGAGTCTATAGTGATATCCGTAGCTGTAGGTCTGTCTATAGACTTCACAATGCATTATGGGGTAGCCTATCGGTTATCAYCGGRCAAAGAGAATAGGAAAGAGAGAGTTCGCTACTCGTTGATCCATATCGGTTCTGCTATTTTCATGGCAGCATTTACTACGTTCATAACAGGTGCGTCCATATAYTGACTTCTGAAGCTCGAGCCTACCCTTCGTATTTGCAATACATTGTGGGACCAATATCTAAAGAAAAAAAATAAAAGAAATACGCCATGGTTTGAGCTAAACATATCCTACAATGCATTGCTTATGCGATATATTACGTAAAAGCTCAATATTTTGGAATATGCTCTAATYATTTTGATCTTCTTTTCCAGGGCTTATCATGATGCCAGCTGAAGTYCTTGTGTACATCCAATTGGGACAGTTCCTGATGCTTGTAATGGTGTACAGCTGGCTGTTTGCGACCTTCGGATTCCTTTCTTTGAGTGCTTTTATTGGCCCAGTCAGAAATTTCGGACAGCTTAGCCTTACAAAGTGAGTATTCGATCCCGGGAGAATATGGATGAGCGGGTATGGTTACTATGAGACCAGCAGAAAGAAACAAAAAGAGATGGTGGCCAAGTAAAAATTGATGAGAGTGTAATATGCATTATGAGACATTTGTTTTTGCAATCTAATGAAAAGTTCGAACTCAGATCACCGAATTCCGGGACCTTACCGTAAAAACCGAAAGAAGTGGATGCAAATATTCCTGTTGGGATGAGAAACCCGACAAAAAGGAAGCCTGCGCAGGAGACAAGTGCATAATTTATTCTCGATGCCCTTCAAAAATGCTGGAAATCGCATTTCCAAGGTTCAAAATTTCAAAAATTCCTGCCCTCCTTCGGTGGTCTTTACCCCTGACCAAAAAATACCACTCCCCCACCCCACCCACAACCATAAAAATACCCCGCGGACCCTGATATTTCCTTGAAATTGCATTGCTTTCTGTATCCTCACTTTTGTTTTCTTTTTAAGCATTTGCTGTTGCAAACAACGAAAGAAGGGGGTATCACCCACAGAGGACAACGAAATGGAACATTCCTACATCAATGAAATAGACGATGATTTGGATGAAATGGATGGAAAACCGAATGGTGATAACAAAGAAAATAAAGGTAGCAAATTAATATCATTTMAAATCAATCAATCATTGGAAGGTAGTTCTATGAAGAAATGATATAGGCAATGTGCAGCAACTCCATGGTATAAGCACGATGGGATCTGTCTGTAGTCCTTGCTGATTTTCAATGCCCATGCAATCTCCTTTTATTTGTGCCGCAACGCTAGATATTGAAATTATTCATATGTATGGAACATTGCAAGCGAAACCGCGGAAACCGTTATGAAGGACACTACTGAATATTGATTGGACGAGGCAAAATGTAATAATGCAACGATGGCATAAACTAGATATTCTTAGTAAAAGAACTTTTCTAAAACKTCTGCTTCTTTCTGTCAGAGGGGAGAATTGCTCAACGTAAACGTTTCCAGAAAGAAATCTTCTGGTAATTGAATAAAGGTAAATATCTGGTATATTCAACCATACATGTATCTTGTATACGACGAGACAAATGTGTCACTAGGCCATGTGGGATAGGCTAAAAAGAGATCATACAAGAACATGCGCAATCGGTAAATTACGACTGAAAATGACTCTGYTGGGCTTTCAGTACGTACAAGAGAACAGTTGTGTGGAAAAACTATGGAATCGTAATTGAAGTGTTTAGTAGTAGAGTTGGGTTAACATTTCTCAGTTAAGGAATTATTGATAATAACTATGTTGTAATCATGCACTTCTTTCTTCAATAGTCAAAAGACCAAGAGATTAAGAACCACTAGGTGAAACCAAGTAATCTTGCAAAGCATTCTGGTAGTCACGGAAATGACGTCRTCGTGCACTGGCGACACATTTTCAACATTTCAAGAAATTTCTCAATTTTATTGTATTATATTTTAATAAATGAATTTATACGATATTTACAGATGTATATTAAAATAATACGAAGATGTATTAGTGATGTTTACGACGATGTTTACCATATAGTAGACTTCGCTTTAACTCAGTTTTTTTTTAACTCAGTTGTCGAGAGACTCTGTGGCAGCCGGTAAAGACGTTTCTGTCATTGTCATAAAACTATTCTACATACACACAACCAAACAATTACTGTTGTAAATTCTATTCATATTAAACTTCTTCAGTAAATCCTCAGTCATGTTCTTTTTCTTGATAACACAAAAATAATAGAAAAAACTCGCAATTTGGGTTTTAGGAACCTGTTAGTTTCGTAAACGTTAAGCATTCTTCATATAAAAAGCTATTAGAATTGAAAAATTACTAAAAAAGCGGATATCAGCACAGTACGGTTCTGAGACTCAACAGCTAAATAAACAAAAACAAGCAACCTTGGGTTTTAATTCAAAATAAAAAACCAAGCTTTTGACCTACGCGGTAATCATCAGGGCTACAATGAATCTTGCTACAACTAACAGAAAAACTGCGCCATCAAAACAATGGTCGCGTGCATAAGCTATGACAGTAGATGACAGGGTAGGTCGAAACCTCGGTTTTATTTTGTATTGAACACCAAGGTTGATATAACAAAGTACATTATGAAGTTAAATCTTTATGAAAAAAAAAACAAACAAGCCGTGTATTTCGAAACCCATAGCCGGCAATAAACTACTTTCCAGYAATTTGGAAACATTGTTAGCTAAAAAACATCATATTTAATTTTACTGATAGCTTTACATGTAATAATTTAGATAAAAGCCCAACCAGACGTGAAATGGTTCACTTAACAACATCAAACATATTTTTTATTGTACATATATATTATTATTTGGCAGCGTTGCCACCTTTACTTTATAACAATCAATGTTGTTCTGTGGAGAGCATAAAAGATGAACTTGCAGATGGAGCTTGAAGCTCGTCGATATCATTTTAATTTTGAAGTCGTTTTAACAAAGAAGAACGTTTTTCGGACGCCCAATAATGTTTGACGGTGTTGGGTGATCAGTAAAAAATTAGACTTTTTCCTGGTCTAAGAAAGACATGCGAAGACGTTCAYCTTGAAAGGCAGTTTTACTGCAGTCGACATCAGAGCAGACGGAGTATGTTTGTTTTTCACTACCTGCAGGTGTTCATAATTTGACAAAACATTTACACTTACAGATATGAATGATACTTTAGTCTGACAACATATCACATTTGTCAAAAGGCCAAGTCAATAAAAAGGCGGTCTTTTCCTTCCGTTTCAATTGACATTTCGTTTTTTTTTCACTGTTTCTTGAGCGTGGTGTAGCCAAAATTATAATACAGGCAATTCAGTTTCGTAAAATTTCATTGAAAAGTGTGGAATTGTTTGTCGGAATGGAGTTAATGAGATTGAGATCTTGCCATTAAACCCGTGAAGATAGATGTTCAAGGTCCATGTCACTTAAACCGCGCAACTGTACGAACTAAATGGTGCTATTTAGTTKTATTCAGTAGATCGGTAGAGTGATCACACTTAAACTGTGCAACTGTACAAAATCTAAATAGCACTAATTTGTACTAAAAGTGCACCTGAAGCAAGACGGTATTGAATGCACGATTTACTAAATACAACTAAATAGCACTATTTTAATAGTTAAAMGTTTGTACAGGTTTCCACGGTTTAAGTGCGATCACTCTACGCATGCGATACACAAATTAARTTGAACTAATACAAATGAAGCATTCAATAMCGTCTTGCTTCAGGTCCACTTTTAGTACAAATTAGTACTACTTATATTTTGTACAGTGGCGCGGTGATATGTTTTCTATTGTCTAATCTACACTATTTAGCACTTTTCACCATTTTTTGGCTTTAGCGAATCGTGAAGTCATTTAAASCATGGAAAAAACTTGACTATTATAAAAAAAACAATGCAATAGGAGCGTACTAAGGTGCATTGGTGTAATGTCTATTTAACCATTTAACGGTTTTTATGACCTTACATTGAAGCCACAAAACCCGTGAAATAGATATTACACTAATACACCTCAGTACGCTTTAACTGCATTGTTTTCGTTTGTGTCTATATTTTGACTATCACGCTTTAATAGTCAAAATTTGGTTTCGCGGGTTTAAAGACTTCCTCTAGTACTTTTAAGTAGTGGGGACGGACAATTGGCACAAGCGAAACTTTGGACTTGTAAGTAATATAGTTTTAGACAATCTGTTTCACGGTTTTTTTTTTCACACTTATTTTTTAAATTTTGTTATTTTTATGATTATTTACATATGATAATCAAAACAAAACATATAGCATCACTTAGATATATGCCCAGCTCAACATATACCCGGATATGCATAGCCCCCTGGATAGCAGTATCCGAATCTGTTAGAGCTGAAGACAAAGTGGCGGCTTTATTTCTCTCAACATATAGCTAGTCCAAAAAAATGTAAGTTTTGAGTACATTTTTACTTTHATCATACTTAGTTACTGAACCTACTGTTGTATCTAAATCATAGCAATTTGACTACCAGTTCTTGTTGAAATGGATATTATRAAAAAGCAGTTGCTAAGCACTGTTAAGCGATAAAAAACATCGCAGTTTAAAAGCCATAGGAGATCGATCAATTCATCAAAAATACAAAAAAAGTGGTTTTGATCACCACCGACTGAAGGTTTTCACTAATGGTTTCAATACAGTGTTTATTRTAGATTGATTGTTTTGATAATGGAGCAATTGCCACCATAAAGACGCGGACAATTTATCAACATACATCTATTGTTGAAAYATTAAAGTCTTCCTTAGTAATTCAGTTCAATGTAATTTAAAAATAGATTGTATATTTTGTTTATCATTTGTCTCGAGCATTCAGTGAAAGGTTCAGTGTTCAACAGTGATATAGCTGGCAGATTCGTTTTAAAATAACTTTGCCGAGTGCAACTCAGTCGTAGCACCACGTGTAACTAAGTGAATGGCCAATGGTTTTTGGAATTACTTATGTACAATCTAAACGCTCTTCTTACAAGCAAMAACAGGAATTCTAATGCTGAAATTTCCTCTTAAGTTTGAATTGTTCACTTCAAAGAARCTCAACACTAYACACTCAKTGAAGTTTGAAATATCTCGGCTGCGGTGTCGCATCTCAACAGATAATCTTTAATATCCCACCTTACTGTCTCGAATGCTAGTATCACCCATTCATACATATTCAACACAGCTGGTAAAACYGACAAGATCTCTCACGACTTCACACCGCATCTAYGCGTTGAAGTGGTCTTTCCTTGATTGAATTCCATGTACATGAACTCAAGGTAAAAAACATATACACTTGYTTTTAGAGCARGTTTATAATTCATAGTGAAAYCCAAAAACAGCTCATCACATTCAAATCTCTTACGTATATTTTTTGAACTAAATTGTAATCCAGTAACCTTATTTAYAGTCTGGCAAATAGTATAACTTTTCGCAGGGATGTCCATGCTTTTGAATTGAATCTTAGAGTATCAATATAACTGTTGAAGGGGTCGGTTATGCGAGCTTTTTGGTAGCTTTCCAAGCTTTTCCATTGAATCATAAACAAATCTTCGCTAGGACATGCTWWGAGGAGTGTATGATATATATAGTCTTTCATTATGAATGCTAAAACGTTGGCTAAATTTTCTTTAATTCAGTGCAAAGTTTTGTAATTTAGAAGAGCAATATCTATGTGGAATGTTCTCCGGAAACTGTTTGATAAAAGCACTCGAAGCGAGCTCTARGTTTTCCRACCTGAAATGAGAACGGCAAGTATGTCTAGGACTGGAAGTCGCATATACATTAACATGTCATCGCGTACCTTCCATTTCCCAAGCATCATTTGCCATCTTTRCCATGATTTGCATTGCTACATTACGTGTTTTCGAGTAGATGTTTGCTTGTGGAAGCGTTTAACTCATTAATTAAATACTTTGTGCTATCGACAGCCCATTAGCAGGGGATTAATTYTGAAAAGACCTCCTTGTTATTGCTCCTGAGGACATTAGCCTAAACATGTAGGCGGGTCACTGAATCAAAAAGTGATACTTTTTGACGCCATTACGATAAAGTTGTCAACATTTTCGCTTTTATTCAATAATGACATAACTTTAGCTTTTAAATTATCAATAGACACCCGGTCCATTCATCATGGGCCAAACTTTTTTACATAATCACTAATTGCTCMTAAAAACTACATTGCCCCTTGTACATACTAGGTTATTAAATGAATAATGAATCCTTAARCTGTACAAGTCATTATTCTCGATAAATGTATATCCTATAGTTTCTTACAAAAAAACAAAAACAAAAACACAATGAAATTCAAGATGGCGCCCGTATTGATAAAATGCCCCAAAATTATTTGAGAATTATTTATAAAATAATAATAATATTTTAGATGAGAATTATTTAGAAAATAAGAACATTATTGCGATAGCTCCAGCACGCGCCTCTCTGCACGGTGTCGTAATATTTCAATTCACTAGTGACTCTTTTATACAAAATCAACATTTCTATAAAGTTCGACGACCTTCTCTTGACAACACTTTGTTGGGWTGTCAAGCTTAAGCATAATAGTCGGAAGTCACAAAATGTGTGCAATGTWGCTGAACGACAAAACTATCAACTTTCCAGAACTTTCAGATTTATACATTTATGCGTTTGACCTGTTCACTTTTTCTCGATTCCCATTGGCTGACGATATAAACGCGCATGTCAAGCTGAGACGTGTTTCAAAGTTTCCGCATTTTTGTAACAATCTGTTCTATTTTAGGGATCTGACGTCACAGAAATTCAGTAATGGGCAAGTGATGTCAAAACGCGTTGAGTACTCATCGTTTTCTGTGTTTACATGATAGTATTTCGGGTCAATCCGACCGCTACGAAACATTTCCTWGGACACAAGTCCMGTCATCTTTTAATCCCAAACTTCTTGTCTGCGTCAATTCAACGCAGTTTAGTATCTTGGTCGAAACTAGCTTCGAAACTGTTGCATGATAGCTTATGAATTCTATTATAAACGTAACATATTCTTGTTGACTTAGGAAATTTGAAAGACCAAACATTTGCACTCGTTTAATGTAGTTTACTAACTGAGAGTTTACATGGTAGAGAGAGGCGAACGAGACCATGCGCCAAAAATCTTTCTAGAAGGGTTCTCATTGAGTTCCGCGTTGTCTGAGAAACTCAACACGTTTGGAGCTCACTTCTAACTCGATTATGACATAGCTTGCGCAAAACTGACTGATTTGACAGCCACTAACGTAAGAAGACTCTCTTGAGATGGATTAGTTCTTTTCTTTGCCACTTTCGCAAGACGCCTCCCCCCAAAAAATAACAAAACTACACATTTTTTCTTGTGCCTCAAGTTGTATTATGATTATTTCATGAAAATTGGACATTTGCGTTTTAATTTGTGCTGTTTCTATAGCAATTTGCATACAAATTAAGGTAATTCAGTCGCCTTTTCTTGTCTTAATGTTTGGATAGATCCGAGTTTGCCTTATAAATTAACATGTAAGGAAAGTGCTAACCCCGAGTAACCTGTGAACAGTGTGCTAATGTGTCAATACGAGCTCGCAACCAATTAAATTCAATATGAAACTGCAGTAGTTCTACAAATCCCTAGCGATTCAACAGCCATAATGGACCTATTGTGCAGACAAAGATCGCATTTTCTACAGCACAAAGAAGGGATTTATGCATGAATTTAATAATACCTTGCCCTGATCATTCGACATTTAATCTTCATTGCAGAGAGGTAGAGCGGTCGTTGCGACAGCGTATCGATAACATCGATATGTCTTAAACCTTTCATCGAGGCAGACTATCGACAGGTAAGAAACCCCTCATGAAATGTAGACCGCGATAAAGCTTTCATTTCCAAGGTCGAATTGCATGATCAATTCAAAGCTGTTTTTACATAAGTACTTAATTCTCGGCATGCTATATCTACTGAATTGATAGTTAAAGCGACAGATACGACATTGCCACTGTGATTCGGACATTGTTAGACTTTCCTTGAACTATTCTAGCCGAAAACTGCGATGTTTTCAAACATAAACAAGTATTTTGCAAGTGCATTGTTTATCAGCGAGAACTGTTAAAATACTCTTCAAAGACTGCTTTTATGACTACCAAACAGTTGCAGCTTCACCATCTAACCTTGTCATTTAGAAACTACTGAATCTGGCACGTTTGTCAACTAAGCTAATCACCTTTCTGTGGGAACCTTTCTGTGGGATTGTATCATAACATATCGACTTCTAATTATTACAAAACATTTCAAAAACACGCATGTATTGTCTTTGAAATATTATTATAATAAAAAAATTATGCAACGATTGAATGATTTAAGATAATAWGCCCAGAACTGTATGAAATGACTGTCTGCAATAAGTGTCTCTGTCTTCTCTGCCGCAGGTTTTTAGATGGATTTGCCGATCAATCATGGCCAAATGGCCGGACGAGTCCAAGCAGGTAGGTCACCACCTCCACGTCGACGAAGAACAAGAGAATACGTCCCAAATTCTCAATCGAAAAGAACAATAAAACAGGACTCCAACAATATCGACACYAACTCCTTAGAAAGAAAAATTAGCGGTGGTTTGGATGAAAACATGAACTCTGTTCAGYACTTTCCCTCTACTACACGACACCGAAGCGACAGTCAGAGATCCGAACAACTTGGCGAAAGATATCATATCTTGAAAGCTGAAAATAAAATCCTACGAGAGAGACTGCAAAATGCTCTACAGCGAGAAATGAAAGCGCTTAAGACTTTTAAAAGACTCGCAAAAGAAAACCGTCAGCTGAAACTGAATTTGAGAAAGTACGAAAGGACATTATTGGGTTTATATGAGGATGAGTCAGGTGAGATCATTTATTGTGGTAGCCTTAATTTATTATTAATAGAGTAGTGAATATACAGAAATTCTTACTTTTTAAAACAGAAATTATCCTAGTAAATTGCAGGCTGGTAAATTGATTGAAAATGAAGGTAGTGGAACTTAAACTACTATCAAATTTCAGTTCCAAACCCGAGAAGTTTATTTAATAATCAATTCACGAAGCATTACAAATACTTTGACGAGGAAAAAATCTGTTTCCTGTTATCTGTAAAAGAGTTGATTATCTGATCTTCCAGMMTGCATATGCAATAAAAAGCTGTTTTTTYCCMATTTCAATGATAAAGGTCCTTAACGCATGGCGCCCTGAATCTTCTCCTAATATAAATAAGTAGAATTTTAATTTAAATTGAGTGGAAATAGGGTATAATCTATTCTAAGTAGTGTAATGTATCTGACTCGACATGCCTCATAKATCAATATCATCATAACTATAAAAAGTTTTCTTGCCATCAGATAAACAGGCGGGGAATAGTCCTTCTGTTGTTATTTTAAACAMGTTAGTAAAGGCATATAAACAAACACTAAACCAATTGTCTAAATCARTACTTGRAACTAGTYTCAAAATATCCGATTGTATTTGTGAGGAAACTGGGAAAAATGGGACCCTTGCTTGTGTTTTTAATTTTGGAGAATAAATTGAGCGTTGTAGTTGATTATCGCTATTATTATTAGTAGCACATTAGGTTATTACCATCATTATAATATAATTATTGCATGGTTTTGCTGTTAAAAGCACTTATTTACTCGGTACTAAAACTGTGAAATTTCTTTTTGTTGGTTTTGAAAAGAAGCTTCAGAAATTGCGCGAAATTATCTCTTTGACGAGACACTCGAAGTTCGAAACCCAAACTTTGGACGAACCTAGCTAAAGGTCTGGGAATGTGACTCTGCAGGAGTAAACTGTCTGTTTGTTGATAACAACAAATAAGCGTGCTTTCCTTATAGCGAGCTAAATTATAAGCTTCCCAGGAAAGGGTTGTAGTATTGTGAAATAATGATATACTGATTTTGAGTAAAATAGTAGCTTTGAAATTCAATTCTTCATTCAAAATAATAATAATAGCGCTAATCTAAAAACAACGAAACAGTTTTGCGAAAGAGAAACGCAGAACGGTCCAAAAATGTTTKTGGATGGCRTGTTCTGGTTCAAAGGAGAAAAAACAACAAAGAAAAAGAGGAAAAAAATTCTGAATGTCGCGGCACTGACCATATCCGGCGGCATTTCGGACAATTACAAAAACACCGGCATGAGTAAKCGCCGCCCCCGGGGAATTTKTCAAAACGCCGTCCTCCGATACCGCATATGGTTCGAAACAATYGATTYAGCGTCGCGGTGTTTAGCAATGAGTTGTTCGACTATAATTCAAAATWGATCATAAAAATCTACCCGCTTTAATAATWCCCTTTCTAGAGGTTTAAATGGACCGTTTTTTAGTRGTTTTGTWTGCAGATTTAATTTTCAAAACCGACCGAGATTTTAGGGTTTTAAGGTCACGTGATATACTCTAAGTTCCTTTGCCACATCCGGGACATGTGGCTTAAGTTTCCAAATTCTAGCACGAACACCGCGAAAAATTGTCAGAAATTCGTAGCGCGAGAGGTTAGTGGGAAGGTTTGAGATGCCTCCGAAGCTTAGAACACGGAGTATGAGCTGTACAGATTCGTTTGGCCTGGCCGTCGTTCCCCATAAAGTTCAAGCCGGAAAAGTTGTGTACTTATGTGGGACAATGGGTAAAGTAGCACACTGGACGAGAAAGTCTCGGGACAATCTTGACTCGATTAAAGGTAACATCAAGACCAAAACAAAGAGAAAATATCTATGACTGGGAAAGCAAACTTATATTAGAAAAAGACAACTTTTGCCTAAAGTAATGATAATATTATTATTATTTTGTAAGTTTATGTCAAAATTTGTCTCGGTTTCGCGTGAGATATTCAAAATACACGCCGTGTCTGGTTTCTAAAAACAATCTTAGTGTCAAACAAGTAACAATATTCATCACTAAGAAGGCAGACTTAAACAAGAAAAACTTAAGCTYAGCTAATGAATGTAATTTTGTAGTYCATACACAAAAATCAGTCTGTTTTGAACGAGATGTTTTAAAAACATCGTCTTGTCTCGTTTCGAAAAACAATTTAGTAAAGCTTTAACCAATTAGTGCCTTCCGTTGTGGTTTGCCTTGGAAGTTGAGAAAGCAATGGAAATATAGAAAGTGCAGAAGGCAGTAGTGTTTAATCTCTAAAAACCGCAGCAACGCGTGAGCCGAAAGTGTTTTGATTCCTTGTTGATTCAGTTTTCATTGTGCTTTTGACTTCAAACAAATAGTTAATTCGCCGCGTGAACTGATTYTGCTACATATTTCAAAGAAAACTAGCAAACACAAGTCAAGTTGAGAGTCTTGTTGTCCTTTTGAGAGTCTATTTTCTTATATTAACTTCTCATTTTTAATATTCCTCCCTCAAAATAATGCATGTTTTACACGCGTTTGTGACATAAATATAAGGGTTTATGTAAATCTTTCACAGTCTAACGGTTTGCAGGTAAAGTCTTCAATGACCRACTGCTTTTTTTGTGATAACACATTGTGTTTCTTCTATAAACTATGCTAATTTACGTTAAAATACTCTTAATCACATMAATAACTAAAAATATACATTAAAAACCAATTTATTATTGATTCTTTTAATTGCTTAACAAGATAAAGATTTGTTCCATTCTACACCATCCCCGCGAAACTTGGAAGTGGAAAAAYATATTATGTATGCGATGAAGGATCGAGTGTGTGACGTCACAGTGTTTGTCTATTTTGTTGACTTTAATCAAAATCTCGTCCATCGCAATAAAATAAGGATTAAAGAAAAAGATTTGCAAATACAGTGATCACGTAGCTTTATAAGAATACCACGCCTCGGTGATTAACAGGAATACTCGACATTGAAAAAACGCAATCATACAGCGACTGGAGCTGTTGGATATATGGAACTCGCTGTGATTTGCACTGTTTGCTTAAACATTTGATGTGGAAGTAGTTTATATGTCTGTATAGCGGTCCACAAGCTTTGTTTATAACAATTAGGGCACGAATTCGAGTGGACTACGAGTGGATAGGCTGTCCATCAATCGTAGTCCACGAGACCAGGGACGTCCCTGACGAGACCTAGATGTCTGAATGAGTTGAAGCAAGAATTTTTCAGGAAAACTCGGTGCTCACGCTGGAATGGGCTGAAAAATAACTAAACAGCTTTTCCCGACTTTTTTCGCTTTTCTTGACTAGGACTATCACAAATAGACCAAMGTTCAATAGCCAATAAGAATGCTGGATTCGTATCCACAGTTTTTATCAAAACAAACACAAAATTTATTGTTTTCTTTCTTTTCCCATTTCTCATAAATTCATTAGTTATTCATGATTAAATAAAAAATATCCTTACTAGACTATACCCGATGCTTTCCACAAAGCATCTATTTATTTTTGCGCTTTTCTACAAGATTTTTGATTTAAACTGCATGAAACTGCCACACATTAAAAATAGTATCTCTGTATTTTAGATTCAGATCCAAACGATGCAGCTGCACAAGAAAGAGAAAACCAACTCCAAGCCTTCACAAAACGCCTTACAGTACCCCCTGTTAAATCCCGACGTTCTAATTCAGGAGACAGCGACCTCTCGGGACGAACGACCGATGAAGATCTCCACGGACACTCGTCGTTATCTAGGACACGRAGYAYCTCTACATCAACAGAGGACATAGCCATCTTAACYAGGATGAAACACGATAAATCTACATCGACGCATGACTTGGAAAAATGGGATGGTAGACGAACTAGAAGTAATAGCAAGAATATTTACGAAGACACTATACAAGGACCTGAACATAGGTAGGTGACATCGACTGAATATTCRACTGTTGTTGTAGTGAGAAGATAAAACCCTTAGACTACGAGATAATCCCTGATACGTTGAAAATAAACAGTTTTCTAGAAATCAGAAATCATACATTCTTGAGATCAGAGTAGTTTCTTGGAAGGTGGCTTGGACTTCACGTGGATTTTATTCGCTGGGTTATTACATACAGTATTCACCAAGCAATAATAGAACATCGGCTAGCTCGAGCRGTGCAAACACCCTCGAAAAATTCCATCCTTGGTTTGCCTACATAGTACACTCTTCAAATTCATTCCGCGTAAGGAAATTGACCTTCCAAGACGTGCAAAGCAAAAGACTGGATTAATGACCATTAATATTTGAATATGATGGTCCAGATGTTTCAATGTTTGTTAAAAAAGATYTCACTGTTGCTCAATCGAAATATCTGTTGCTAAACATATATTTATTCTTGCTAACATGCTATGATAGTTGTTGTCGCTAAAAGAAATCCCCTCCGTCGCTGAAAATGATTTCGCTTTTCCGCAAAATTTAAGTCGCTCTTTAGTGAATATTTACTAACAAGCAAAGTTAGGTAACTTTGGGGAAAATTGAAAATTTCTGTTCTCTTTTTTATCTCGAATCCTTATTGAAAGTAAATCAAACGTACCTCCCACTGTGTAATAGGTAATAGATCCTTTTATTATTACGACGCATTTTTACAGCGGGTCAGATGAGCAATAGGGCACTAGAGAGGCCATTCTGCATTACAAAACATTGATTACCTCAAATGACGTCTCCTTTTCCACAGTTAAATCTGATTGAATAAGAATGATTTAAGCAAAGTGGCTATAGCTAGTAGTCTGGTAATCATGCCATCTTACGTCTCGGGTATTAGTGTCATGTCAGCCAGGAGATGACAAACGACGTTTAACGTCAAGTATTCGCTCACGCAACAGACCGCTGCAAACAGACTGACACGCTTGCTCTACACACATCATACTTATTTTCATTTTTTTCTTCTTTTAACCTAAATTTCAGTGGTTTTATTTCATTAGTAACGATAACCAGAGTATTTTTACGACAGCAATTTCAATTTGCTAAAACGACTTTTTATCCACGATTAAGATTTCACGAACGCGTGAACTATATTATCAAATAATAGCTAATTATATAATTCATATTCCCAGCCAAAGAAAAGATTCCAGTAACTCACTAGACCACAACGAAAATAACTTAACGGACTCGACCAAAGTCCGTCTTCTTCATCGTCAATTAGTGGACCTGCAGAGCCAAACACTGAACGAAAGACGGAAATACAGCGATAGTCGTAGATACAGGAGCGATTCACTAGAAATGCATGACACCCTCGATGTCAATGACAAATTGTACAGAGCTTCAAGTTCGCCAAGTATTTTAGGTAGGTATTACAGCAATTTTTGTAAATACATATTTCAAAAAATCGAAAGTGACCACCATTTYAATGATTTTTGTCTCGGTCATAAAGTTTATCTTGCGTTTGCATCTGCGCTTTAAAGCTGAACGAAAGAAAGAACAGAAAACCGAGCAAACTCCGAAAACTCGACGCACATTAGTTATCAATCATAATGGAGGAGAACCCTTCAACTTTACCAGGGGGTGCTAACATAACGCTATTTCTCTTTTGAAGATGATCAAAGCGAACAATCTCATGACATCTGGAGGCGAGTGTCTGATGGCAGTATAGCGTGCAGCCCCCCCGGTGATTTCCATCCTAGACTGAGACACTCCTTTCATGAAGAAGAGTTAGAAACAGTTCCTGAAATCACCATATCACGAGATGGTTACCATGACGACGCCAACAGTCAAGAGATCAACGAGTTTGAATCAATACTTCTACAGGTATAGCGCAATATTTAAAACTTTATTACTGTCGAATAACGTGTTAAAACGTGGCGAAGTGCACCATGGTATTGATAAAAGTATCATGATGGCGGTGGCGGATGCTTTAAAACTGCGAATAAATTTTGTTTGCAAACGTAATGCTTTCCTTTCTCAGAAGGACATTCAATAAGGAGAAATAACTACTTGTTGTTCGAAAAACAGCCTGAAAATACCCCAGATATTTATTAATACTTATTTGACGGTTTTATATTTCACAGGATGACGCCAGGATACTCAGCCAATCATCTATCCACTCTTTGACGAACACTGACGGGGAGTCCCAGAGATCACCTCGGTCATCACCACCTACGTTGACTATTGACGTACCTATCAATGCTAGAGAAAAAGATGTGAGTACAAAGAGCTGTGTACAGCAATTTACATAAACGTTTTCACAGTTACAAGGTTGACTTACAGAGCTATTAAAGTCAATGACACCAGTTTCCCCCGCTGTCGTTATCTTCAGAAAGTGTAGCGAGTTGATACCTTAGCGTGACAATGCGTGACACTTATAATTTTGCGTGACATGAAACGCTGCGYGACGCTGGTAACGTTGCGTGACAATGTGTGAAACTCATGGCGGATTATCGATATCTATCAATCTTGTGATATTCAATTATTGTATGGTAGAACGAAGAAAGAATCGATCATCCACTGAATCATCGAGCATTCCACCGCCCTATGCTTGGCCACACTGTATCACTCCCGGCAGCCTCCTTCGAGCACTATTTGTCGGTATTGCATGAAGTCGGAACGACGTCTGACAATGACGACATTATCGAAGAAGAGGACGAAGAAGAAGAAGAAGCGGTACCACCACCCGTTTTCAGAGTAAGTTTTCATTTTAATTACTGCATAACTAATGTAGTAGCCCGGCACTTGCCTACGTGTGTCCATTCTGTTATTAGCTGTATTGTTAGTATGAAGCTTTCTTGTCGCTGGTAACCTTTAATATGTGCTMATAGTCAAATAGTGGTGTGCAACCGCTGATCCAGCTGGCGGGTACAGGGGGRTGGATGGTGCGCACTCCCTCCTAAGACCTTGTTTTCTTTAATACTGTCTCCTTTGTGACCATTCTTATGTAGTTCACTCCTACCAAAGTTACCAGGAAATCCTGGATTCGCCCTGAGATTGGGTTCTTTCATGTACCCCTAGTGCCAATTGTAGGGAAGTTGGACCCACGGCTTTTACTTGACAAGGCCAGGCACTGAAAGAGTCATTTTAATTGTTYGTTCGAGAAAATTAAACCACGCCTGTAGACCCGACACTTATTCACATAAATGTTCAAAATGGTCTCTCCCGTAATAACCTCCTTCCAAGCACTATAACTTTCCTTTATTTCTATATCAAGTAAATCTTCCACCAATTTAGGAATGGTTGATTTGATAGTCAACATTTTGCCAGAAGCAATTTGCACATCTCAAATAATTGTATGTTCGTTTTTCAGCGAGGAAGACGAGCATCACTTGACGACGACGAAGTTTACATCAAGAAAAATCGAGATAAACGAGAAAAGAAAACCAGCGTCTCTCTTGTAAGTAGTTATTCTAAATCACAAGAGTTGTGCTTGTAGCAACTTTATCTGACGGTTTTCTCGCATCTTTTAGCGGTTTGATGGTGACATGCCGAGAGAGCGTGCAGAGACACTTGCTGCAGACATCGCAGCGTACTTGGAATATAGAAAACAAGTTACGACAGACAATACAGACAGTACAAGCAGCGATATTCCTCCGGTAATCATAAAACCACTTCTTATCAAGGCAAATGACGATTGCATGTTGTATGAATTGTATGGTCGTCTGTGTCAATCTTAGGGGATATCCACGGGTAAATCCTCGGTAGTAGGGCTAACTCTTTTATTTTCTTTTCCCTGGAGGACTTAAAATAAAAGAGTTTGGCCCTACTAACTAGGGGGACCATATATCATGTAAAAAGGGTCTTACAAAACGAATTATCAAGTTCATTAATAGTTCATATGGTAAACGGAATGGAAAATCATTGCCGTGACCGAATCTATGAATGAGCAAGAAATTTTCCCTGATTTGCATACAACTTCAACATGGATTTTCTCTCGATAATTTATCGAGAGGTTTACAACCAAGTTTACTTTAACAATATTGTAGATAGATAAGCAATATTTATTATTTATTTATCATAGTCAACCAAAGAAAGTCCATCAGAGGATGAAATAAGTCTCCCGTAAGTACAAAATTCATCCATGATTAATTGTTGATGTTAGTGTGAAATAAGACACGATTTTTTATAATCATTATATTTTTTTTCCAAATGAAGCGAGTCAGCTGCAATAGCTCGTGCCAGGTCCCTCACTCGAAGGCGTGGTTCCGCAGTCGTGACGTTACCAGGGGAACGCAGCTACCAGATGGATCTTCATGTTTTTAATAAACAAGCTGAACGACTGGGTAAGATATCGCGGGCTCATTTGGTACAACATATTATTGGATACTAGTAATCACACTCAATGATGCGTGATAAAAACTCTCTCTCAAGCTCGAACCCCATTATTTCAGTCACGAATTATTATAATTCCTATTAATTCTTAGAGCGAGAATAACATGTTTATCATAAAAGTTTCAGACGGCAAATCGTTGATGCTTCAAGACAGAAGAGATTTATCAGGGTCCAGTACCTCTCTGAATAGTATCGGTAAGTCATACGTCATTGACACGTAATGTTATGTCCAGCGGGTCACGTGACTATCTAAATTCCTTTCTCATCACAGGTGATCCCGAAAAGAGATCACGATGGTCAATACTTAAACGAAACAAAAAAATGGTAAGTAGTAGCAACAATAAGTGCTATATCTTGACATCTTCATAATTTATTCTTTCATATTCAAAAAGGCCAAGTTCCAGAGCAACATTYTAAGTCACACAAGTTCATCATTTGTATCTTACTGCCCTKTTTTAASAGCGATATAAATAATAWTCTAACTTTTCTGTTTTTTTTTCCTTTTTTTTTTGAAGAGTACATACGGTAAAGAGCTTAGACGACAAACAGAAGACTTTAAGGAAGCCTTGTCRCAACTACGAGAGAATCCTAAAGAATTCATCGAACATGAGCTGTTAGAGTACAAGGTATTTAGAATCTTAACTCTATGCCACATTCACTGACAAAAATAGTTAAATCTATGCATCCTGCGAAGTAATAGGATTGAAAAAGACTTAAATTCTTTTAGAGTCGCTTGATACATCTGTAAGCCTCAGTAATTACTAGGTCAACAATATCGCATATTTTTGATATATTTTCATCAACTTAACCATTTACAAGCACTACATAACGGAGGTTTTTTTTGCTTTCCAACTAACAGGACAGTCACTGGACTCAGTTAATTCCAAATACCAAAGGATCAAACCGACGCCCGCTGTCAGATGGATTCAGCAATCTCTCCAGTCACGAGACAAAACGGCGTGAAGCATTATGGGAGTTATTTCACAGCGAAGTGGTGTACCTCATAGATCATTTGCTGGTGCTGAGCGAAGTCTTCCTGAAACCTTTAGAGATTTTACAACATATGGGACATCTTCATGGCGTGGACACATCTAAGATATTCTGCAACCTTAAAGGACTTTGTGAGGTATTATTGCTTTTTTTGTCTTTCTATTTTCTCTTCTTGTTCTTTGCTTTCTTCTTCTCTTTTTGCTTTCTCATTCCTTCTTCTTCTTGTCCTCCTGTGTTTCTTCGTATTCCGCTTCTTCGCCTCCGTTTATAGTTCATCCTCCTTCTCCTTCGTCTTCTATTCTCCCTCCTTCTTTCCTTCCATCCTCTTCTTGATTTTTTCATCCTACCTCTTCTCTCGTTCTCTCGTCTTCTTCCTCCTTTCTTTAATCGCCTTCGTATTCTCCCCTCCTTTCTGCTTTTACCTTTTCTCTTCTTCGTCTTCTAATTATTCTGTTTTGCTCAGCTTATGCAATTTCTTTATTCATCTCAGGTGAGCTCTAAATTCGCCGAGGACTTGTTACTTGTATTCAAAGGAGATCAATCGAAACAGTTTGGCAATACAGCGGCAGTCGTCGCAGCTTTCACCGAGGTAAACATGTTTCTATGGTTACTATCTTGTAGTTTTTAATCATCAGGTTTGATATAGCGTTGTATGTAGGAATAGTGAGCTTCAAACATAAGTCCTTCCTTCGAAAATTAAATATTCCATATATTCTCTTGTTTGATGCGCGATATTTAAAGTCGGTCGGCGACCAAAGATTTTCCTTGATCCTTTAATACTATTGGATCGGTCAGCAATATTGGATGGTGCCATCCGTGTTAGGCTAAAGTTCTGATATTATTACCATCTTAGTTTGGTTGCAAGCTACAGCCACAGTACCAGGAATACTGCCTCAACTACTCCAAGGTTTTAGGATACCTTGATCACTGTAAGAAATCCGATGATTTTCAGGAATACATCAAGGTATGACGTCATAGCACATTTGTTCAGTAAGGTAAAATAATGTGTAGTCTCGAAGTTCTTAATAAAAGCCATTGTGATTGGCTGGTCAGAACAATAGGCTCTATTGTTTATGCTTGAGACAACCAATTATCAGCATTGTTCTTTGGAGCCTGCCAGAAAAGATCCCCAACACAGGAACATGCATGCAGGCCTTTTATCAGGAAGGAGAACAGGTCTCCATAGAAAGGGGTGCAGTTTGCTTAAGTCGCATTTATTGTTCTTTTTTCTAGTGGTGCGAGGCGGATCCAAGATGCAACCGTCTACAGGTGACAGATCTTCTTGTTGCTCCWTTACAACACCTCACGAAATACCCACTCCTTCTGAAGGTATGGTTGATATTGTTTTTCGCGAAATAAAATATGTTACTGAAAAGGGCTTCCTAAAACGTATATGCAAAGTATACCAAGTTTGAAAATACAGCTGACCTAAAATTGCGCTTGCAGATTAACATTTCCGAATGCACCGAAGTAGCTGTAATGTTTTGCTATATTTATTTCACGTTTCCATTTTTTATATGCATGGATACGCTTATGAAATCACTACTCCATATTCCTCATTGATATTCTAAGATTTTCCGATTATTTTGCTTTGTTGTAGAACATTCGAGAAAGAACGACGGAAGACGAGGACGAACACAGTTCGCTGTCTTCAGTCATCAAGTCAGTGGAGCTGTCAATCAGTAAGTTTGCGCACAAACTCGCAAGTCAGACAGGAAATGGTGCACCACAAAACACCATCAAACTGTTTCTCGACCTATACTATTACCGTATAGCCACCTTGTTTGCAGAGTTAGATGTTGCTGGATGGAGTTTGAAGGCCTTTCGTCACCAAATAAACTGCGCTCACTAGTTTATCTCTAGTTTCCATCAAATCTGAATATGCTTGATGACCGAACAATATTCCGTTGCCGTACGGAATTTAAACAGCGTCGAATTCATTACTAGGAACAAGCGAAAGATATGCAGAAATAACCATCTAATTAAATACATAGAGAAAGGACGAAAAAAGTAGAACCCATGAAGTACTGATAGAGTCTAAGATTAAAAATATCTGAATCACTGATGCCTTTTTCTGCAGAGGAGCTCGAGGGAAAAGTCAAGTCATTAGCAAACTTTGAAAGACTTCAGGACCTTCAAAATTGCTTRGTTTGGCCATCTATTATCGAACTTGATCCGAAAACATACGTTCCGGAGGTAAGGCAACAAATAAYATTAACTTTCTTTAGACCTAAACAAGCGGATTTTCAAGAAAAAGATCTTAGATGCATGCCTTCAATTTCAAAGGACTTCTTTTTAGAGTTTAGAGTTAATTTCTTTCTTTTTTTCTCACTTTTCTCGTTTTCCACTTTTTCYAATATTGTACATTTTTCGTCCAAGTTATTTTCGGCTGATGATACGAGATAACAAATCAATAAAAGCGCGCGCAAGGTTTAAATCACTTCAACTTCGGTGGTTAATTAAACGTCAATGTCTATATTATATGAAGTCAAATAACCAAAACGATCTCAAAAAATAATTTCGCAAGGGTTGAATTAGCCTGAGTTCAGTCGGCTTATCTTTCTTTCCGAATTTACTATAGTTAGTAAGCGGTGCCTGCCTCTCCGTCCCCCTTCCCCTAACTAAGAATGCACTCTAACAAAAGACTTTTTACTGACAAAGGTCAGAGGAAAATGTGGCTCTAATAACTCTTAAATTATTCTTATTCACAGTTTTTACGAGGAATTTTAGCCAAGCAGCCATGTGAAAGCTTACTGGCAAGCCCCAAACGGCAACTACTCTACGAAGGATCGCTTGTTTTACTAGGTTTGAATGTTTATTGTATTTTTGATTATGTATATGTTAAAATGTGCTATATTTAAAAGTAAATTAATATCAAATTATTCTTGAAACTGGTTGTTTATCTAAAAAGTTTAAAGAGGCGGACATTGCAAAACAACAGAATAAAAATACTTCAAATTCGCAAAAAATCACTGAACATTCACCAGTTCCTCAAATCCGCCGTTTTGTTACGTTTTGAGCGATAAGTGCTAATCGAGAATATGAAAATTCCGAAAATCCGCACTAAAAACTGCTGCGTGCGCCGATCAAAAATGCGTCGTCACCCAGAAATTGTGGCAAAACTGACTTTCATATTTTACTGTATTTGTTTCAGAAAACACAAAACAAGACATATACGCGTTCCTTTTTGACGACATGCTTCTTTTGACAAGATATCGAAAATTGCAACAGAAAACTAACAAGGTAAGGGCTATAATAACTTTAACTATCATTACTAGATCTACATGAGAGAAAAGTGACCACTTGTATGAGATTGTAATGAAAATTAGTGAAATTCCGCACAAAAAAAACAACAACAAACAAATCAATATACACCGAAAAAAATCGCGCACTTTAAAAGGTTGTAAATTTGACGTAAATCAGTTACATCAAATTTTCATCATTTTGGACACTTGCATAATATCTATATCAAATTTATAATCTTTAAAGTGCGCGATTTTTTTCAGTGAAAGAGCTGCGTGAAAGAGCTGCGAAGATGACACTGTATATGCCTCTTTTCGTTTTAGAAACTCAGCCTGGCTGGTATGTCAGCAGATAGTCCCCCACCCACTCCTCCGGTAGTGCGAAAAGTAACGCCTGTTGGGCAGTACACCGTTTATAAACAGGTAGGCTCGACTATAACACAGGTAATCCAAWATGGAAATAGATGCTTACAAATTTATTGGTTTGATTCCAGCCGATTCCATTGGATCGTTTTATCATCATCGATTCTGAGGCAACACATGGAGGCAATACGCTTAAAAACTCGTTTATAGTCATTCATTACAGCCGGTTTAAGCAAACTGTTGGTCTGTACACGTTACAGGCCCCCTCGCAGAATCTTAAGGTCAGTGAGGATTGTATTTGCAAATTAATTGCGGAATATGCATCGAGGCGGGGTTGGAAGATTCTTTCACAAAACTGGCAGGCTATGYAATTATGGTTTTACCTTCGTTTGACCGAGATTCAGACTGTTTTTAGTTTTTTTTTTACGTTTCTCAAACTACGATCTCATACTTGAGCATCGTCCTTAATCTATGCAAACCTAAGGTCAGTTTTCAAAATTCAAAGTTTTGATAGTTGAAAGAGGGACCGTCTCCATAGAGATTATCTYCAAATTGGCTCTCTTTGCTCATCATTCATGGTTTTAACCTTTATTTCTGAAGTAACATAAGTGTTTTCATTCCGTTTTAGGAAACATGGACAACTAGTCTCAAGTCAGCGCAAAGCAGCTGGTCAGAGGCTGTTGCTATGGAGATCGCAACTGAAACTCAGAAGACACCCCAAGCTACTTTGAGCCCGCAATCAAGCACTGAAAGCGAAGAGCCTGGGGCTAGCGACAAAACGCCAAATATGACGAATGATGAAATGCTATCGTTTCATAAACCAATAGCATCGCATTGTTAATCACACGAAATCAGAAAATATTACCACGTGATTACAGACAATTACCACGTGATCATATACAATTACCACGTGATCATATACAATTACCACGTGATAACAGACAATTACCACGTGATCATATACAACTACCACGTGATAACAGACAATTACCACGTGATAACAGACAATTACCGAGTAATAAATATCGGACTCAAAGTCCTTGTAAAAATCTGTAATGTCGTATTTTTACAACTTTTAAAGTATATAAATATAATCCAAGAATGTACATAAATCTTATCTTATGACCTGGAAACCATATTTTGAGATACAAAATAAACTTTGTTATACAGTAATTATATTAAAGTAGTGAAATTACTTTGGTTCCATGTTTCTCATATTTTTTTTTCAAATTCATATTGATGCCTCGTGAATAAGTGAAGCTATACAAGGCCATGATTAGGGAACTTCTCTACTTTATGCCGGTTACTATACAAATAATTATTCATAAAATCGAATGTCCGGGAGATTAGGGGGGGTCTCACTTATATTGTAGGGGGGGGATGCACAAAGCGACAAAACTGAGCAAATTTCAATCATATAATTTCAAATTCCGCGAGAACTGATGATCAATGATCAAATATTTTTACAGTCCAACTTCGGCTTTATTAGAATTCTCATTTGGCTTATCTGGTTTGTTGCTTGATGAATGGTTGTCATCATTCTCCTCGTCTTCGTCTTCAAGACAGCATAACAAGCGATCATTTTCGTACGTTGAGAAATAGTGTCTTGGGAAAACAAAAAGTAAATTAAGTAAATTATTTCAATTTTGGAAACACAAAAAAAAAACACAAATGGAAACACTGGAAAGAACGCGCAACATCGCTTGCAAACTTTTTGTTTCAGTCAACAGGTTGTGCGATTTTGTTGCTCGTTGCAACCAATATTTTTTTTCGTTTTTCTACCGATAAAAAATCAAGTTGTATCACCAAAAAATCAACTTTCATCTCATTACTTGGGTTTCTTTCTTCATAGCCCATCAGACTTGTTATGCACAATTATGTTTCTTCAATGCAGTCATTCTCTCCATTTCTAAGCGTGCGTAAATTTCTCAAAATAGAGAGTTTAAGCATCACGTCAACGGCGAACGGCTAACGGCAAAGCTAAACCAATGACCTAAGAATTTCGTGCCCAACCTTGTGCTTTTGGTAGTCATTTGAAAGAGCGGCTTTTCACGATTATGGCAACCTCAAACTAGCCCGCTCCCGCGTTGAAACTGCAACGTTAAACTCAAAAAAAGCAGGTCACGTGATCTTTCCTGACGTTTGCCGTTTGCCGTGAACGTCATGCTAAACCTCTCTAATGATATCAAATACTTTTGCTGCGAGAATAGGGCGTAAAACGAGAAACATTATGATCGAGCTTGAACAAATACGATGCCGCGTGTATCATCTATGCCTCATAATCATAATCACCACATGGCGTGGATTCACTCCACCATATTAATCCACATCACCATTGACGGAACATTTTATATCAAATATCTAGTACCTGCGCTCTGGATGGCCAAAATCATTTGCGCACGCCTTATTTCATTATTAAATCAATTTTCCTATAAACATACTAGTTTTCCGTGTTTTTCTTCGCGTGCGAAAAAAACAGAAAACGGTGGTTATTAAAGATATTATGCACTTACTGTGGCTGATCCCATACACTTTTATCACCAGGAAGATTAAAATGTTCCAAGCTTGTTTGGTGATCTAGTAAAGCTTGACGCGAAGGAAACTTTTCTTGGCAATTTATACACATCATATCGTAAACCTAATGAAAAAAGTAATNAGTTCCGCGCGCTTTTATTTATTTTTTTACATTAAAAAACGCTGTCATATGATAAAATGCTTATTGACTGAGTTAGGTCGGGCCGTACGGGAAAATATTTGGCTCTCGGTCATTTGTACGGCATAACCTCGAGCCAAATATTTTCCCGTACGGCCCTCCCACTCAGTCAATAAGTACATATTATGTTTCTTCAATGCAGTTATTCTCTCCATTTCTAAGCGTGCGTAAATTTCTCAAAATGATATCAAATACTTTTGCTGCGAGAATAGGGCGTAAAACGAGAAACATTATGATCGAACGTGAACAAATACGATGCCGCGTGTATCATCTATATCTTAAAATCATAATCACCACATGGCGTGGATTCACTCAACCATATTAATCCACATCACCATTCACGGAACATTTTATATCAAATATATAGTACCTGCGCTCTGGATGGCCAAAATCATTTGCGCACGCCTTATTTCATTATTAAATCAATTTTCCTAAACATACTAATTTGCCGTGTTTTTCTTAGCGTGCAAAAAAACCCAGAAAAACGGTGGTTAGTTATTAAAGATATTATGCACTTACTGTGGCTGATCCCATACACTTTTATCACCAGGAAGATTAAAATGTTCCAGGCTTGTTTGGTGATCTAGTAAAGCTTGACGCGAAGGAAACTTTTCTTGGCAATTTATACACATCATATCGTAAACCTAATGAAAAAAGTTATAAAATATCAATAAAATTATAGGCTTAAAACAAGTTCAACAGGAAATACACAGCGACGCTATTTTGTATGATGGGAGTTGTCCGGCTAAAATATTGGAATT